CCTGTCAGTTTTTCTTTTAAAATCGAGTGAACAGGCCGTTCGTCTCCATTTGCAGTTTTCCTCCATTTTTCTTCAAAAAAAAAAATTTTCTTCTGCGTTTTCGATTTCATTTTAGCGACGGCAGCTTCTCTCGGTAGACTCCGGCTTTTTCACAGTAAACATTCTTTTTTCATGGTGTCTTTTTGTTTCTTCTTTGCGTTTGTTTTGGAAGAATAGGGTGAAGTTTTTAAGTTTTGGATATTTTTGACTTGTTCTGAGGAGTTTAGAGTACAGATTTTTAGAATAGGCGTGAATTTTGGTATTCCTAGTGGTTTTCCGGCAAGCTGGCTGGATTTTTTGGTGTTTTTCTGGGTGTTTTGGACGGAATTTGGGAAGGCGAAGTCGAGTTAAGTGTGAGTTCGTTCGGTCGGTCTGCCTGACCAAACAGGGTGCCATCTTGGTGGAGTTGTAGCGGAGTTAGGTCGTTCGGTCCATCCGACCGAGTGGAGAGGGGCATGCAGAGTGGAGTGAAGAGGCGGTCGGTCATCCAAACGGAGTGAGTGATTTTGAGTTGCTAGATCGGTGGACCAGGTCGAGTAGACTAAAGGTTGAGCTTGAAGACAAGTCGGTCGCCCGGGGCGAGTGAGTGGAGACTAGGTCGGTAGTGGGGACGAGTGACAACTGGGTTTTACACCCTTGTTCGGTTGGTAGCTCTGACCAAGTAGTTGTTTAACACTTAGAATTTTTAGTTGGAACGAGGCTCGAGTCGTTCGGTCTAGTTGGACGATCGAGCCAGTATGTCAGACATCGAATCAGCTAGCTCAAGCGGGATTATGGCTGACATAGGGGATGAATATGAGCGTGCTCCTACCATAGTGATGATGCCTGAGGGGGGCGTTTCGGTGGGCGTATCGACTGGAGTTAGTGTAGCTGCCCCAAGGGTGAGTGAGGCTGGGTCGAGTGACTCGGGCAGGCATGGGAGAAGTGGGGAAGACTTTGGAGGGGCCGATAGTCCATCTTCATCCAGTAGTAGCTCTAAGGAAGAGCCGAGCCAACAAGGTAGTGGGATTTTGACCAGAGATTATCCGCCCCTACTGAAGGACAGTGATGTGTGGTGCATCCGGACCTTATATCACATTCCCAGTTCAGTTGATATCCGGGTGTCGCAGTCATACGAACGGGTCGACTAGGAGGCACAGGGTTGGATTAGTGTTCACGAGAAGTGGTTCCATGATGGGTTGAGGCTACCTATCCCTCGCCTCATTTGGGAGGTATTGAACCATTTTATGATTGCCCCTTTCCAGTTTATGCCGAATGCTTGGAGATTGCTGATGGCTCTGGAGGACCTCTGTGTTCGAAACCAAGTGAGGTTCGGGCTGCACGAGTTGTTGTACTCGTACTTCCTAAAGGAGAATGATAAGGAGAAGGGTCGGTATTTGTTGAACTTGAGGCATGATCAGTCTCACCTGGTCACCGATCTGCGGTCTAGTGATAAGAACTGGAAGGACCGCTACTTCTTCTTAAGGGATTAGGCTGTCTTTGGAGAGAGAGGGCAGGGCGAGATCCCGGGTGGTTGACGAGTTACTGGTGAGAACTTAGTTATTTCTTTTGTGCTTTGATTACTAAATATTGATTTTGTTTTTTGTTTGTAGAGCTTGAGTATAATTGGGCTGGGTAGAGCAGAGACGGCCTGGACATTATGACCAAGAGGGTGTTGGCCATCCCGTCGGAGCAGAGGGACTGGCGAGTGGTGCTAGCTGAGTCAAACTTGAGGACTAGCACTCTTTGGGCCGGTGTAGAGGTGATCCAATGAGGTACTCCCTTCCCCTCGTTGAAGTAGACTTGGGACGTTCTCCTGAGTTGATACTGCAATCAGTTTATTTTTGGTGAGTCCGGGCTGAACCCACTAACCGTTGGAGAGTTTGCACTTGCAGAGTCACTGATGAAGAAATTAAGCATCCCGAGTGCGAGCGAGTCCATCGCCCGGCGTCGAGAGAAGAGGATGAGGGAGTCACTGGCCAGGGCAGACGTGAGAGTGGAGGATGTGTTGGCGACACCGCCGAGTCAGCAGCCACCGAGTCAGCAGCCTACAGTCGGAGCCGAGTCGTCCCATGCTGCAGTTGTGGATGAGGAGGCCGGGATGATTACATTCACGATTCCAGCTACTGCATCGACTTATTTCGATACGACTTCTATGAGTAAGCTGGCCGACTCTTTCTTGTTCCCGACGGACTAGGCGCGTCTGAACCAGATGGGTGCAGTTGCTGCCTCTGATTGGGGGGTATCCCGCGCCGTTCAGGTATGACAGTATTATTCGATATTCTCATTCTTGAATTTTTTTTCTAATGGCAATGTTTTGTTGTGCAGGTACTCACTAGTAGTCTTCATCTGAGGAAGTCTGTTGTGGCGCAGGAGAAACGGATACAAGATGTATCCAAGGCTAATACTAGCTTGCGCCAGAGGGAGGCAGCACCCCGGGAGGCTGAGCAGGAGAGTCAACAGCGCCTCAGGGATAGTGAGCATGAGGTGGAGAGATTGAGGCGTGAGTTGGCCAAGAAGACCGCAGAGGTCGAGTCTGTCAGGGAGCAGTGCATTTCCATTGCTGATGATGCTATCATCAAGGCCCGAGGTGAGCTCATGCTCGAGTTCGAGGAAGGGAGGACCTCTCACTGGGATCCAGGCGAAGACATCCAACTCATGCAAGAGTTGTTGGAAGAGGGAGACGGTCATCCGAGGGGGCAAAACAAGGAGCAGATGCTTGACCTTAGCCAGCCGGGGCCATCGGGTGTTGGGGATGTGACCGACCAGGCTACTAGGCCGAGTGCTGGCGGTGCGGACATGGCAGCCGATTCGGCGATGGAGGATGAGGCTCGTGCTGAGGATACTTAGCATTTTTCTTTGTTTATACATTTTAGGGCCTGCGATGCCCTTTTGCTTGGCGTGTGTGCCATTTTTTGTATTTTGAACTAGGCCGTTTGATGCTATATATATATATATATTACATTTGGCTATTTTGACTTCTGGTGCTGTCTTCGTGGATGAATGAACTGTTCGTTGTTTCTTTACTTGTAGGTGCACTATGTCGTGTATGTTACTTTAAAGTGGCCCAGTGGCTAAGGCATGTAGGCCTTATGTTGGGTTGGGTCGGTGCTTTGCTTATCAAAGGTGTAAGGACCATTCTTTCGATCTGGCCGACCGAGTATATAGTCCCCTGGATGAACGAAGTCAATCTGAAGTTTAGTTCTTGGGCGGATCAGGCCGACTGGGTGGTGTGAGTCATAAATCATGCTGAGTTTTGTAGATCGAGTGGGGCTAATCCGAAGGTGTAAACTCATGAATCGAGCAGGGCCGATCCGAAGGTGTAAGTACGAGGATTGGGCAGGGCTGATTTGAAGGTGTTATCGTGAATCGAGCAGGGTCGATTCGAAGGTGCCAGTACGTAGATCGGGCAGGGCCGATCTGAAGATGTCATCGTGAATCGAGCAGGGTCGATTCGAAGGTGTTCGTATGTTTATCGGGCAGGGCTGATCTGAAGGTGTCATCGTGAATCGAGCAGGGTTGATTCGAAGGTGTAAGTACATTTATCGGGCAAGGTGATCTGAAGGTGTTATCGTGAATCGAGCAGGGTCGATTTGAAGGTGTAAGTATGTTTATCGGGTAGGGCCGATTTGAAGGTGTCATCGTGAATCGAGTAGGGTCGATTCGAAGGTGTAAGTATGTATATCAGGAAGGGCCGATCTGAAGGTGTCATCGTGAATCGAGCAGGGTCGATTCGAAAGTGTAAGTAATTCATCGATCGGGGTCGATTTGAAGACGAAAACTTCTGCATAGTACTTCATTAATATTTGGCCATGAGGCCGACTATCTAAGAGGAGGTGGATAGGCCCACTCATTCTTTTTAAAATGAAAAAGGGGAAAAAGAAAAAAGACAAAGTTCACCTAGAAGCAGTAGCGTTTGAGGGGCGTTTGAGGTGAACGGCATTCCAACTGTTGTTGATGTCTTTGCCCTCGGGGGTCTAGAGTTTGTAGGCACCCTTCCCTGCTTCTTTGGTTATCTTGTAAGGGCCTTCCCAGGTGGGGCCGAGTTTGCCAAAGTTGATCTCCTTGGTGTTTTGGATGACCCTGCGGAGGACCCAGTCGCCTATCTTGAAAGTGCGGATCCTCACGTTGCGGTTGTAATGTCAGGCGGCTTGTTGCTGATAAACTGCGTTATGGATGCTCGCCCGTTCCCGTAGCTCATCCATGGTGTCTAGTTTCTGGTAGAGGTTGTGATTGTTTGATTCCTCGTCCACCCATTGGAGCCTGGTGGACGGAAGTGATACTTCAGCTGGGATGACTGCTTCAGAACCGTACGTAAGGGAAAACGGGGTTTCGCCCGTTGATGAGCGAGCCGTGGTTCGATACGATCAGAGGACTCCGGGTAGCTCGTCTGCCCATGCACCCTTAGCTTTCTGCAATCGCTTCTTCAATGTCTAAATGATGGTCTTGTTTGATGACTCGGCCTGGCCATTAGACTGGGGGTTATGGGGGGTTGAGAAGCTCAGTTTTATTCCCCACATGTCACAAAAATCCCTGAAGCCTGAGCTAATGAACTGGGATCCATTGTCGGTGACGATCTCCTTTGGTATCCCGAACCTACAGATGACATTCTTCAAGATGAAGGCCTTTACCTCTTGATCTCTGACTTATGCGAAGGCTTCAGCTTCAGCTTCGATCCACTTGGTAAAGTAGTCTGTCACAGCTAACATGAAGACTCGTTACACGGGTGCAGTAGGTAGCTTTCCCACGATGTCCATTCCCCACTTCATGAATGGCCAAGGTGTGAGGATGGAATGGAGTTGCTCTTGTGGGAGGTGTGAGACATGGGTAAACCTCTGACAGCTATCGCACTTCTTCACATAAGCGGTCGAATCGGTGCATATGGTTGGCCAGTAATATCCAGCGGTGATCACCCAGTGTGCAAGACTGCGTCCCCTAGTGTGGTTCCCGTATTCGCCGTCATGGAGTTCCCCTAGAACACTTTAGGCTTCTTCTGGGCTTATGCATTTGAGATAGGTGCCTGAGAATGACTTTCTAAGGAGTTGGCCCTCATGTATGGTGAACCTGGCGGCTCTTGCTTTCAGTCGGCGTGCTTGGTTCTTGTCAGCCGGGAGTTCATCATTTTCCAGGTATCTTACTATCGGAGTCATCCAATAGTCGGCTTGTTCAATGCCCATGGCTTCTACGGGAGGCTTGTTCGGTGGTTGTTCCTTCCAGTTGGCTGGCCACTGCATGAATAAAAGAGGAATGGATGACTGGGAGGAACATGGGAGTGCCAAGCCAAGGTTGGCGAGGGCGTCGGCATGGTAGTTCTCAACTCTGGGGATTTGTACGATAGAGAACTCTTCGAATTGGTCCTACAGCTCTTTGACCATGCTCAAGTAAGATGTCATCTTTGAGTTGCATGCTTGATACGTGCCTTGTAGTTGATTGACTACGAGCTGGGAATCGGACTTCACTTCTAGTCTCTTTGCTCCAATTTCTCTGGCCAAGGAAAGTCCAGCTATGAGGGCTTCATATTCAGCCTCGTTATTCATGTACTTGAACCCACACCAGATTGCTCGCTGGACGATGTCTCCCTCTGGTGCGATCAGTACTATTCCAAGTCCGCTTCCATTCACATTACTCGATCCATCCACTAAGAGAGTCCACTTGGAGGGTGATGTGTCGTTCATGCATAGTAACTCTCTTTCAGCTTGGGTGGTGGTGCTTGGTGTGAAGTCAGCAATGAAGTCTGCTAGTGCTTGGGACTTGACGGCGGTGCGGGGTTGGTAAGATATGTCGAACTCGCTGAGCTCTACCATCCATTGCATGAGTCGGCCTAATAGTTCTGGTTTGTGTAGTATCTTCTTGAGTGGGAAGGAGGTGGTTACGACTATGGGGTGGCACTGGAAGTATAGTATGAGTTTCCTAGATGCATGGACGAGAGCGAGGGCCAACTTTTCCAGCTGACTGTACTGAGTTTCTGCGTCGAGGAGAGACTTGCTTATATAGTAGACCAATGACTGCTTCGTTTCTTCTTCCTGAACTAGTACTGCTGATATGGCTGTCTCTGAGACCGCCAGGTAAGTGTAGAGCTTCTCCCCATCCACAGGTTTGGAAAGAAGCGGGGGGGTGGTCAAATACCTTTTTAGCTGTTGTAGGGCTTTTTTGCAGGAGGAGGTCCAGTCGAACTTCTTGGACTTCTTAAGGGCATAGAAGAACAGGTGGCACTTATCAACTGATCTGGAGATGAAGCGGCTCAGGGCGGCCACTCGTCCTGCGAGGCGTTGGACGTCTCTGATGCATGTCGGGGATGGTATGTTAAGGATCGCTCTGATCTGGTCGGGGTTGGCTTCTATCCCTCGCTGAGTAACCATATAGCCCAAGAATTTACCTGATGAGACGTCGAATGAGCACTTGGCTGGATTCAGCTTCATGTTGTATTTCCGGAGGACAGCGAATGCCTGGCTAAGGTGGTCAAGATGTTGCTCGGCAATCAGGGACTTGACGAGCATGTCATCGATGTAAACCTCCATAGTCTCTCCTAAGTGGTCGGAGAACATCTTGTTGACTAGCTGTTGGTAGGTGGCCCCGACATTCTTGAGTCCGAACGGCATTACCTTGTAGCAGTAGGTTCCCCTCTCTGTGATGAAGGCTGTCTTCTCTTGGTCGCTCGGGTGCATTAAGATCTGGTTGTACCCTGAGAAGGCATCCATGAAACTAAGAAGCTCGTGGCCTGCAGTCGCATCAACCATCATGTCGATATGTGAGAGGGGGAAGGAATCCTTGGGGCAGGCCTTGTTCAAGTCAGTGAAGTCGATGCAGAGTCTCCACTTCCAGTTCTTTTTCTCTACGACCACGACGTTCGCCAGCCATTCGAGGTAGTGGACCTCTCTGATCATACCATTGCTTAGGAGCTTTTCAATTTCGTCATTGACGATCCGATTCCGCTTTGGTGTGAATTTCCTCCTCCTCTACTTCACTGGTGGGTGATCCGGATCTACCTTTAGCTGGTGGACCATTACGTCCGGACTGATTTCAGTCATGTTGGCGTGGGACCAGGCGAAGCAGTCTTGGTTCTGTTTGAGAAATTCTATCAACTTCTCTCTTGTCTCGGGCTTGAGGCGAGAACCTATGCGGGTCTTTCTCTCAGGGTCGCTCGAGTGTATCTATAATTCATCCAACTCTTCTATTGAGGGCTGATCCGACTCGGTGAGAGGGGTTGGATGAGATTGTAATTGCTATGAGGAATCACCCTTATTCTTGAAGGCGTTCTTATAACATTCTCTGGAAGCTTTAGGGTCGCCCTTGATCTCTCGTACCCCCACTTTGTTGGAAACCTGATCGTCTGATGGAAGGTAGACGGGATTGCTCGCATGTCGTGGATCCACGGTCAGCCCAAGATGACTTTGTAGGGTGAAAGGCAGTCGACTACTAGAAATACAGCCTGTTTGTTTACCCCGTCGGCGTAGATAGGGAGGATGATCTCCCCTATAGTGTACTTCTGCTCAGAGCTGAACCCTACCAACAGCATCGGCCGCTTATTGATGTTTGCTTCTTCCAATCCCATTGCCTTTACTACTTCGAGGAATAGGATATTTGCCGATGAACCTCCATCTACGAACACCCTTTTCACTAGGATGTTGGCAATCTATAGGGAGACGACTAGAGCATCGTGATGAGGAGTGGCCAAGGTGACCGGCTCGTCATCTTCAAACTGAATTACCTGATGGGAGTGTGACCGCGAGACCGGATGGATGGACTGGATTTCATGGTGGTGGTTGGCTCTAGCATACCGCTTGGCCGATGGGTAGCTTACCCCACTGATCTCTGACCCTCTGGAGATGAGGGAACAAAAACCTTTCGGTGTGGGTTCTCGCAGAGGGGGTGATGATTCTTTGGAGCTTTTCTGGCTGATGGTGTTCTTCCCCTTGTCAGTAAGCAGATCACGGAGATGTCCCCTCTTCAGAAGTGCAGCAACCTCGAGCCGCAAGGCAATACAGTCTGTAGTGTTGTGGCCATGGTCGTTGTGGAACTCGCACCACTTGGTTGTGTCTCTCCTTGCCTCGTGATTAAGCTTGCCAGGCCACTTGACGGTGGATCCCATCTATTTCATTATTGCTACGACTTGGGTTGGTTCGATGTTGAGGTTGTACTCCAGTAGTTTGTACCGATTCGATCCGAACTGCCTACTATCGTTTCTCGTAGGTTGGCGATCATACGGTTTTCTTACTCGGCTCGTATTACGTGTCGAGGGTTGGTAGTTGTGCTTTACCTGTTTGTGCTTTGGCTTCCTGTCATTCCGCCTTGATTCGTATCTGGAATGAGCTGCTCAATTCATCTCATCTTCCTCCCATCTTATTTGGATCATTGCTCGGGCCAGAGCGTCTTCCATTGTGGTGCAACCCAACTTCGTAAGTTCTTTGTACAGTTCTCCGTCCGGGAGGAGGCATTTCTTGAAAGCGTCCACAACTGTCTCAGGGTTACATGATGGGATATAGATCTTTTCTTTATTGACTCTGCCAACATATTCTCTCAGTGGCTCTCCCGTTCTCTAGTATATTCAGTATAGGTCAGCCGACAGTTTCTCTAGTTTCTTGCTGCTGGTGAACTGTTCCACGAAGGTGTCGGTAAGTTGGGCGAATGAATCGATGGATCCGTTCGGGAGTTTCGTGTACCATTGGAGTGTTGGGCCGAATAAACTTGAACCGAAACTCTTACACATGCAGGCTTCCCTAAGCGGTCGGGGTATTGAGACTGTGAACATCCGCTACTTGTACGAGGCTATGTGGTCATCCGGGTAGGTGGTACCATCGTACGACTTCATGTTGGGGATGGTGAATTTCTGGGGCATGTCGGCCAGGGCGATCTCATCCACAAAGGGTGAATCAGCGTAACAGTGGGGCCTGCTCTTCTTGGTTGGGATCGGCATTCTTGGAATGCGTCTCATCACTGCCTCAACATCTTATTGGGTCTGCTATTGCATTCGTTCTCGGTACATTCCATTGGGTCACCCCTCGAAGGGCAGTCTGATGGATCATTCTGTCATGCATTCCTTGGTAGCATGGATCTTCGTTCATTCCTTCCGATTGGATGACTCCCATTGTTACTATTCTATTATTCCGCCTTACATGAATTGTCAGGGGAGTCGTCTGGTAGTCGCTTGGTCCTTCAGGATGGATGAGTTCGAGTACTGGAGTTGGTTTGGCTTGGTCGTTCAACCCACGAGGGTGAACTGAGCCAAAGGGGGTTTGTGTTGTGGTGGTTGACTAGAGGTGAGGCGGGATGGTAAGGATGGGCTAGTCTTACGGATGCGGGCTTTCTGTTACTGGATCGTCTTGATTACGAGGCTGGGATGGACTGACTGGATGGTGTTCTATTGGAATATCTTTGTCTCCATTAGTCAAGACGAAGTCGTCGAGCACCAGTGTGCTTAATGGACACGGCCCTTTACCGGAGACCGAGGGCCGATGCTCTGGTGTGGAGAGAGGTTGCATGGATGGGATAGGGGCGCGAAACCGATTGGGGGGGTACTTGGTTGGGCAAGAACTCGAGATCATAGAATTGACTCACCTTTACTTTTAGAGACTGGTTTTCAGCCCTAATGGACTCGTTTTCGGTCTGGATTGCATTGTTCTCGGCTTCCAGTGCGGCCACCTTGTCTGAGTTTTGTTCCATGAGAGCGGTCAAAGCCTCTAGTCTGGCCTCGAGGTCAGGGTTAACGTTGTCGGGATTGTCAGCCATGGAATGTTCTTCCACATAGCAAGGTTCGTCAAGCCGAATAATTGCTAGAGGCCCCATAGTGGGCGCCAAACTGTAGACGTAAAAATCTACCTGTACGAAATGGGGGTCTGATCCTATGAGGTTGAGGCCACTAGCGATCCGCTACACCTGCACACGTAGAGAAACAAACGAGTGAAGCGAACGGGAAACACCAGGGTGGTGTTTGCTGTAGGCACTCTGACGCTTAAGTCAGCAAGGTTGCAAGAGGCTAATATAGTGAGGGCTAGGGAGTAGAGATTACCAGAAGTCTAGTCGGGGACTGTGACTACGGCGGAGATGTGAAGCTCTCAAGTCAGAGTTTTTGGTGCGAAGGTGTAATGTGTCTGTTTTGTGAGAAGGCTGGCCTCTGCTTATATAGTGACTGTCTGGTCTCCCAATCCTGGTAGAAGTAGGAGTCCTAGTATGACTCTGATGCAAACCCTAGAAGAATTAGGGCCGTGGTAAGCTATCTTACCAGTGTCCGGATAGGAAGGTGATTATGATTAGGAGAGTAACTTTGAGTAGGAAAGTGATCGGGAATAGGAAGGTGACCTTGAATGGGAGATTGATCAGGAGTAGGAAAGTATTCTGAGAGGGCCGTGGGCTCTGGATTTGCCCATGGACCTAGGAAATGGACTGGGATTAGGAGGCTCATGCCCACGTGGTTTGGGCCGGCTATATCTTGTACCGAATGGGCCTAATCTGGTTGGGTCATATCGAGATTGGGCCTAGCTTCTTCTTCAGTGTCGGGCCCGTTTTCCTATTTGGACCAAGGACTATTTTTGGCCCTAACAGTTCTCACTATCAAGATTTGAAACACTTGATACCCTCGTCATGGTTCTACCATTCTAAGGACATCTATATATACATATTGCAATAATAATGATTTATGCGATATAGAATAAAATGCCTTTTATTGATTAATGAACATTATTACAAAGAGTCAATTCTACAATAATTGATTGGCTCTAGGGCATCTACTTTAACATGTTCCTCACGTTGTATCTCTCCACCTTATATGCTGTTATTGTTAGATTTCTTGTTTCTCAAATATGTTGGACGATTTTAATGTTATTAATCATATTGTCATTTGGGATCATTTGATGCTAAGTTGGCGAGGATGTTTGTAGTTATGGGTCATTGAGGACAATGACATTTTAAGTTGGGGAGTGTTGATTTGATTTTTTATTTTTGTGAAGTGTTGTTGATGATACTTTTGTGGAGATTGTGATATTTTTGTGAAGTGTTGTTGATGATGCTTTTGTGGAGATTGTATGTTGAATGATTGTGCTTAAATTTTTGTGGCATGATGATGTTGTTTTTTGTTGGAAATATGTTGAATCTTACTCTTGTAAGTCCAAAAGTGCTTAAAGTGAACTAAAGTGAGTTATTTTTAAAAATTTTCATTAATTCATGCATAATCACCATTTTAGAAGCAATTGAGATGCTAGTTGAAAGGTTTTATGAGGTTTTTGAAAATTGTTTGTTGCAACATGGTTTTAAACATTGCACTATTGGTTATGTTTTGTGCTAGGTTTGTCCATAATTGTGGTTAGACACCGTTTTGTGTAAATTTCATATGTTTTAGTGTTTATGCAAGTCTCCCACATACTTTACATGCCCATGGAGCAAAATTTCATTAATTATCTTGCGTGTGTTAAAAGTGCTTAAATGTTGCTTGATGATTTAGTTTTGATTTGTAGCCTAGTTGACTCGAGTGAGTATGCCCGAGGGGTGTTCTACACCTAATCCCCTAAAGCTATCTAGCTTGGGAGCGGTTGGCCTAAAGCTCGTTACATGGGTCCTCTAGAAAGCTTAAAAAGTCATCACAAGATCATAAGCTTTATAAAAAGAAATAAAGAAATAAAGTCTTGACTTGTAGTCTAGCTGGTTAGGGTGAGTAAGTTTGAGGAGTGTTCTACATAGTGCCCTATAGCCATCTGGTTTGGGAGTCATTGACCTAAAGCTTGTTACACGGACCTTCTAGAAAGCTTAAGAAGTTAAGATACAAAACAAAAAAAAAAAAAAAAAAAAAAAAAAAAAGTGATGAATGAAAAGAAATAATATGTCAAAATCTTGTGGGGAAAATAAGCATTATGTTGCATGTACATAAGTTGGAGAGTTTTACATGACATTTTAACATTGTGATATGAATATGAAATGTGTGTTTGAGAAGCTTGAATGGACATAGGCAAATCTTGACAGAAACTTTAGTTCTTTATTTAGGATTGTGTTGTTTGCATGTTAGGTTCAAATTCTTTACTTTACCTTTTGATGAATGTCTTGGTTGTTGATGAATATGATTATGTATGGTTTTATGAGAATGTTGAAAGAGTTCTTTTAACTTTACTCGAGGACGAGCAAAGAGTAAGTTGGGGAGTGTATTAGAGTCATGAAAGTGACTCTATTTTGGTGATAAAAATAACCCATATGTGATTAAATTGAAGTATATTGAGATAATTAAAGAATTTATGAATTTATTCACGAAAATTGCTTCCTAATATTTTTCTTATGAATTTAACATGTTTGGAATGATTTTGGAAATGATATGAGTTGATATTAGGTTGTGGTTTATGGATTATGGGTGATTTTGTCTCATTTATGCTATTTAGGGGGTAAACTGTCATATTTATAAGGGTTGATTTTGTCACTTTTTCATCGTGTAGGGACCAAAGTGATATTTTGGCAGTTTGTCTATAAAAGAAAATGAAAGGTCGCATTCAGAGGAGGCGTTGTTCATCCATTTTCCGACAACGTTTCATCTTCTTTTCCGGCGAACTCCGATGACGGTTCATCTTCCCCAACCATCTATCATCTTCATCAGTTGTCAACGCCACCGTGAGTCGTGATTTGCCACCACGACGCTTCATATTTCGCCGCCGCAACTTTTCGCATTCCAGTCGAGATTTCACCGTTTTTCGACGACGGTTGGACCTGAAGGTTGGTCTATCTTCCCCACGGCCGGATCTACCCATTTGAAGCTTCAACCGCTGCAAAAACCGTCGGAATCCTCCAAATCGCCGCCGCGCCTCTTCATCTTCTAGCTAAGATCTTGCTCATTTCCGACGACCTTCCACCTCCCCAGGACCTGATCTGAACTCCCCATCACCAGAGCTTTCCATCAGTACCTTCGAATCCCATTTCCACCACCATTTTTCGGAAGACCCGCCAGAAAATTAAAGTTTTCCGGCGAGTGTGACTGTTCGTATTCCGGGTTGTCCGTTGGTTGTTTTCGCCCCTTCTTTGCATCATATCACTATCGGTGATCTCCTCTCCACCATGATTAGCTTCCTGTCCACCGTTTCAGCCTCCGTCATCACCACCATGAGCGGCTAAGTTCCCGGT